TTTTCGAGACAGGGTTTCTCTGTGTTTTTGGAGCCTGTCCTGGAACTAGCTCTTGTAGACCAGGCTGGTCTCGAACTCCCAGAGATCCGCCTGCCTCTGCCTCCCGAGTGCTGGGATTAAAGGCGTGCGCCAACACTGCCCGGCAATACTGAACATTTTTAAGGACAAACTGGAAAAGGGACATACATGATCACAACTTTTTTCTTTTCTTTTTTTTTAAAGATTTTATTTATTATGTATACAGTGTTCTGCCTGCATGTACACCTGTTGGCCAGAAGGGGGAACCAGATCTCATAGATGGTTGTGAGCCATACTGTGGTTGCTGGGACTTGAACTCAGGACCTCTGGAAGAGCAGTCAGGGCTCTTAACCTCTGAGCCATTTCTCCAGCCTCCCAACTTTGTTTTGTTTTTTTGAGACAGGGTTTCTCTGTAGCTTTGGAGCCTGTCCTGGAACGAGCTCTTGTAGTCCAGACTGGCCTCGAACTCACAGAGATCTGCCTGCCTCTGCCTCCCAAGTGCTGGGATTGATCACAACTATTTATTAAGACTATAAAAGAATTAATCAGAAATTCTTCTCAGGCCACACTCTGATCAATCTCAGATCCACCGTGAACTAAACTAATAAACATGATTTTAAAAAATTTAGTGTTTTTTTTTTTTTTTTCTGGAGCTAATACCACAGTGAACAATTATAGGCCAGGGTTGGAGAACTTCACCTTCCTTAAATAAATGCACTTATGCAAATTCCTGGACAGTTACTTCATTTAACAACGACTAGCAACTGTTTTGAACAGAGCCACGACCCCCGACTCTTGGGGCGCAAGTTGTTTCAGGGCAGCGGGTATCATGAAACAGGACCGCTGGCAGCTGGAATTGCAGGGAGGTTGTCAGCCGGCGACACTGTGATCCTTGGCAGTCAGACTAGAGCTAGCGGGAGCCCGGCGGAGCTGCTGCGTCAGTGAAATGCACTGACGGTTCAGCCGCGCTGACCTGCAGGCCCACAGTGTCGTGCGTGCACCGAGCAGTAAAAGATAACAGCAGGGGCCAGTGGATCCAGGAGCGGGCAGCAATTACTCTCAGCTTCTCTGGGAACCTGGAATTGGAGCGGTGCTTTTTTCCACCTGCCCTGAGCTCCTGTATGCTTCCAGGTCCTCAAAGCAACCGAGGCTCTCACAGAGCATGATTCTGTTCTCTATTAAGAGGCTTTTATCACACAGCCTAGGGCTGTGAAGCTCAGGTTTTTCTTGGGGGAAAGCTAATAATCATAGCACAGTGTCTTAACTGCTACCCAGTAGAGCAGCCAGACAAGACGATTTCATCCTTTGTGGCTCAGAAATTTTATGATTAAACCGAAAAGGAAACATGGCTAAATTAAACTTTCAAAGAACCATTTCCTTCTGCACGATCACAGGCTTGCATGGACAGCAGGCGTACTAGTCGCTGGCTGCACTGTGGTAAAGATGGCGGGAGTCTATGCCCTCTAGATACTGTCTGGGTTGTGTTCTCATTGTCCCTCGCCTGAGTGTCAGCCTCTCTACCATCTTGACTCTCCCAGGGCCCTGGCTCCTTTTCTGCCACAGTACTATGAAACTCCTGACCACAATTCTCTGCAGTGATCTTAGCCTCCCTCCCTCCAGCTTCGGGCCACAGGAGCCCTGAGTGTCAGCAACCTTCCCATCGTCTCGCTAACAAGGCAGGTTGAAAAGGGTCTTCTGTTGCATGCTTGCCCACGGTCAGCACGCCCAGGAATGGGGGATTCTGTGGGGCAGTGCTTAAGATTCAGACCCAAACCGCACTGGCCTAACCCTGCTGCACTTGTAATACAGGATCGATCGCCAAAGCCCACATACAGCTTTGTTCTGAGGGCAAACCACGTCAGAAAGGAGCTGGAAGTCCCGATGCCCACCTCTCCCTTCAACATGTGTGTTTAGGTCTCTTTCCTCTCAACCAAGCTGGTGTGAGAGGTCTCTCTGTCTCTGTGTTGCTCTTATTGGTTAATGGATAAAGAACGGCTTTGAGCCTATGGCAGGGAAGAACAGAACTAGGCCTGGAAAGGCAGGCTGTATGCTGGGAGGAAGAAGAGAGGAGTCAGAGAGTAGCCATGGAGCCACTGCCGGAGACAGACACAGACGTGCTGAAACTTTGCTGTTAGGCCACGACCTCGTGGTGGTGCACAGATTAATGGAGATGGGTTAAGTGAATATGTAGGAGTTAGCCAATAAGAAGCTAGAGCTAATGGGCCAAGCAGTGATTTAATTAATAGAGTTTCTGTGTGATTATTTTGGGGCTAAGTGGCCAGGAACCAACAAGCGGCCCCTCCTGTAACACCAAGCCAGTAGCCTGATCTGGCCTACAGTTTTGCTGCTTTAGGACTGAATTCCCAAACAAATAAAAAGTCATTCCAGGCCGGGCGGTGGTGGCACACGCCTTTAATCCCAGCACTTGGGAGGCAGAGGCAGGCGGATCTCTGTGAGTTCGAGACCAGCCTGGTCTACAGAGCTAGTTCCAGGACAGGCTCCAAAGCCACAGAGAAACTCTGTCTCGAAAAACAAAAACAAACAAACAAACAAAAAAGTCATTCCAGGAGCTGGTCGTGCAGATGGAGAAAGTGGCACTGGCTGTCCATGGCTGCGGGGGCTCTCTTGGGGGTTAATAAATATATCCCAGGATTCTGAGAATAGCAACAAGTTGATGAATATGAGTGGAATTTTGGGTCCATTACATTGCATTGTGTAGTCTGTTGTGTTGTGTGTGAGTGGGGGTTTTGTCTACATGTATGTCTGTACACCATCATGGGTGTTTTCCCTACTTGTATGTCTGTACACCATCATGGGTGTTTTGCCTATATGTATGTCTGTATGCCATAACGGATGCTGGAGTGACAGATGGTTTTGAGTCGCCATGAGAGTGCTAATCGAATCAGATCTTCCGGAAGAGTAGCCGGTATTCTCAACCAGCTTTGAGCCTTGCATGATGTACTTCAAAAGGGGCAGTTCAACGGTGATGAACATTCTTGGCAGAGAAGAGGAGGTCCAAAGTTACTTGGTCAGCCTCCTGGAGGTCAGCCAGTTTATCACTGCAGCCTACTGGTCAACCTCCTGGAGTATCAGCCAGTCTATCACTGCAGCCTACTGGTCAACCTCCTGGAGCGTCAGCCAGTCTCAGCACTGAATCTCACTGGTCAGCCTCCTGCAGCATCAGCCAGTCTCATCACAGAATCTTACCTCAGTTCCTGTTTCTCTCCAGTCCCAAGCCCGACTGCCTCCGGGCCATACTTTGCAATCCTTGTAGGTTGAGGTAGAGCCTTGCACTTTCATTTGCCCCCAAGAGAGGGAAGCAATTTTAGGGGAAGCCATCAGTAACCGAGCTGCAATCTGAAGTTAAAGAAAAAGGTGCCAAGTCAGTCACTAAGGAACGTTGAAACCACTCCAAAATCCAGAGATAGATGCCCCAATTTTCCACACGAGGTAGCCTTCTCTAACAAGATTCTTACCCCATTGTAAATCCCCTCCCTCCCTCCCTCCCTCCCTCCCTCCCTCCCTCCCTCCCTCCCTCTCTCCCTCCCTCTCTCTCTATCTTCCTCCCCCCTCCCCCCCTCCCTCCCTCCCTCCCTCCCTCCCTCCCTCCCTCTCTCCCTACCTCCCTCTTGTTTTTTGGGACAGGGTTTCTCTGTGTAGCCCTGGCTGTTCTGGAACTCACTCTGTAGACAAGGCTGGCCTCAGACTCACAGAGATCCACCTGCCTCTGCCTCCCGAGTGCTGGGATTAAAGGCATGCGCCACCACCGCCCGGCTGTAAATTTAACTTAAATGGAGGCCAGGGCTACATAGAAGGATCCTGTCTCATCCAACCAATCAATCAACCAACAAATAACTAAATAATCCAACAAAGTAGCTCCTTTTCCAGAAACACAAGATAATTTTTTAAAACCTAAAACTACTGAGCATGATGGTGTAACCTTTGCCCTCGGCAGTCAGCGGAGGCAGCTAACAGAGGCCAGCCAGGAGCCACACAGTGAGACCCGTCAAAAAATTATTATTATTATTTTTATGGTCTGTGTGTGCAAGTCACATCGTGTTTATGTAGAAGTTAGACCTGCTTCTCTCAGGCCACCTCGTGGGATCCCAGGATGGAATCCAGGTGGTCAGCCTCTATCCACTTGGCTGTCCCCTGTCCCTAAGAAACTTTTGAGAAGCAGCAAAACGAATTATGGGAAATAGTAAACTGGCGTGAGCAGAGGATGCCTGTATCTGTGCCTTGAGACGTGTGCTATGGCTTCTAACACAAAATGCCACAGGTGGCTTCAATGGTAGAACTTTCTTCTCTCACTTTGGAAAGCCAGAATGTAAGATAAAAATGCCAGCATGGTTGGTTCATGGTGAGACCTTTTTATGACTTGCAAATGGTCACCTTGCTACACTCTCAGGTGGCCCTTTCTACAGCCACACACATTTCAGTGCTGCTCCCTATCCTTTGTTAAAAATAAAAATAAAAAAACGGTTTATCTTTGTTTATGTGTGTGGACATAGGCTTGCATGAGCCAACTGCACCACCTGCATGCAGGAGCCCACAGCGGCCAGTAGACGGCACTGGAGCCTTTGGAATTAGAGTTTCACATGGTTGTGAGACACTTTGCTTGCTGGGAACCAAACTCAGGTCTTCTGCAAGAGCAGTAGGCACTCTTATCTGATGCACTATCTCTTTAACTCCTTCCTGTCTGTAGGGAAAGGAGGAAGCCGAGTTCGGGATACTCTGAATGTACAGCTATTACAGGGATCAAGGCCTCAGACTCCTGGGAAACTGACAAAGTCGTCTTCCTTCTCCAAGTGTTGGCGGACGACTGATCAGTGTGCACACTAGCAATGGTAGCATCCTTCTCCCTTCTTCCTGTTTCCTATAGAGAGTAACTGACCCCGGCTCTGGGCTGTACATAACAACCACCACCCCGAGGTCCAGAAGTGCTGAGGTAGTTGCTGCTGCTGCTGGAGCACTGCCCACCTGCCCCAACTTTTCTGTGGCCTGTGTGGGTCACTTTGGTATTGTCCTCTCCCCATTCTCTAGCCATCCCCAGCCAGCTTTCTAGATCCAAGCCAGAAGCTTCTCTGCACTTCTTTAAGACTGGGTCTCACTATGTAGTCATGACTGGACCAGAACTCGGACAGAAACTTGCTATATAGACCACTCTGGCCTAGAACTGACAGAGATGCTCCTGCTTCTGTGTCCTGAGCTCTGGGATTAAAGGTATGTACCACTATGCTCATTATTATTATTATTAAATTTTATGTGTATGGGTGTTTTGCCTGCATGCGTTTCTGTGCACCATGAGCATGCTTGGTGCCTACAGAGGACACAGAGCCCCTGGAACTGGAGTTACAGGCTGATGTGAGCTGCCACGTGGGTGCTGGGAATCAAAACCAGGTCCTCTGGAAGAGCAGCCAGTGCTCTTAACCACTGAGCCATCTCTCCAGTCCCCATTTTACATTAACATTATAGCAAACATTACAAAGATGTTTGAAATCCTTCTGGTTTGAAATTAATGTTTAAACATCCTTCCTCATGGCTCAAAAGCCAATGTGTAAAATATATCCTAATATAATGATATCAACATGAACAATGAACAAATTTCAGGATACTGCAAGGGGCAGACCACAGTTTCCATTTTCTGGTATGGACGGTAACTCTGTGAGGTTGAGCAGCTTGAAGAGGGTGGTGACTGGAACCTGGTCCATCAGCCCATCTTCTCACCACACTGTCTGGATACTACAGACTTTCTTCTGCAAGTCCATCAACTGCCCCGATTCCATCTCCTCTGCACTAAAGAGGTAGTGGCTTCCTCCTTCCATTCACTTTGATAGAAATAGGAACAAGGGCTTCTTGGCTCTTCCTTAGTTGCTACTCTAGTTTCTTTGAGACAGGGTTTCTCTCTGTAGCCCTGGCTGGCTTTGAATTCACAGAGATCCGCCTGCCTCTGACTCCTGAGTTTAGCTGGGACTAAAGGTGTGCACACACCACCACACCCGGCCAAAGTTTGGTTGTTTTTTTTTTTTTTTTGCATCCATTGAAATGAATGGGCCTTTTTCTTTATTCTGTTAATATGATATAATATAGAGACTGATTTTTGTATGTTAAAGCAAATTTTGTATGCTTGGGATAAATTCCATTAGTTACTGTGTATATAATTACTGTGAAGTTGTTAATCCCAAAGATGGGAGGAGACACTGACCCAAATCATCAAGGCTAAATTAATTAAAACAAACAATTAATTAAAGTGATCTTTTGCTTTAATTAATAATAATAAAACAACAAGTCTTTTATTCACGTACATGGGCTTCCTCCTCTTAAGATGGGGCTCAAGAGGCTGGACATGAGGAAGACAAGGTTTTATAGCTCGGGGTAGGAGATTTCCACTTGAGGAATTTGGTGGGCACCCTGACTGGGTTATAGGAGCAGAATATAAGCAGAGTTAGTTCTAAGGACCTGCTCAAACAAAGGCATGACTGCAAGGTGGTTGAATCAAGGTAGTCATAGTAACAGGCAGTCATAAAAACGCTTTGACACAAAAACATGGTTGCTGTTTCCTGGAACAAAAACCATTTGTAGTTAAAGTTACAGGTAGCGCATAGCCCGGTCCTTGAGAAACAGACTTAGTCATAAACAGGAATGAGCCTAGTTTGTTTTTAATATAAGATGGCTTTTAAGGGGGCTGGAGGAATGGCTCAGGGTTTTAAGGGCACTGAAGGCTCCTCCAGGGCACCAGGTTCAAGTTTCCACATGCAGCTCACAACCGTCTGTAACTCTAGTTCCAGGGGATCCAGCACCCTCACAAAGACAAACATGGAGGCAACACACAGATGCTCATTTAAAGAAGAAAAGGAAAAGATGACTTTTAAACCTAAAATGGAGGCGGACTGGTTCTTCAAAACAATACTTATGCTTAGTATTTTGGGATCCTGTTGAGAGACTAGGAGATGGACCTCCTGGTAGGCAGACAGAAAGGGAGGGGGCCATGGCTAGTTAACAAAGGTGGCGAATTCACAAGATGGCCAGAGTCTTTCTCACTTTTCTGACTGGAACAAAAGCCCCACAGCTTAGAACAAGGCACCGTAGGCTTCTGCCTCTCACAGCAGGCCCCCTGCTGAGGGACTGGCCCAACAAGTTCAAGGCCTGCTCAGGACCTGCCACACAATGGTTCTCAGTTAACCATCCTAGCTTCCTACAAACTGACCAATCCTAAATTAGGGAGGAAGGCTCTTCAGAGGCTTTACCCTCCTCCTCGCCTCCTTCTCCTCTCCCCAGCACACACAGAGATTTCATTTTTCAGCTTCCTGAGTCCTGCTGTATGGGGGCATTCTTCTCTGTGCCTGCTGTGTGTGTTACTTCAGGACCCCTAGACTGTGTGTGTCACTTCAGGACTCCTAGACTGACTGCATTATTTTTCTTTTTAAAAATTCTCTTAGGCCGGGAGGTGGTGGCGCACGCCTTTAATCCCAGCACTCGGGAGGCAGAGGCAGGCGGATCTCTGTGAGTTCGAGACCAGCCTGGTCTACAAGAGCTAGTTCCAGGACAGGCTCCAAAACCACAGAGAAACCCTGTCTCGAAAAACCAAAAGAAAAAAAAAATTCTCTTTCATTTTTAGTATAATTTTGATCTTGACGCACTAAATTGATGGTGAAAACACGCCAATGAGTCATGAGTCACAGTTTGAATCTACGTCTGTCAGCTGGGGGCATATTAGAAATATTTAAGAATGAGGCAGCATAAACACAGACTTCATAGAAACGAAAGTGCGTGCTGGGATAAGTTCTCTTGGTATCTGTGTTGATATCCTATTGCTGCAGCTCACCGGAGCAGCACTGGAGAACAAGAACGGCAGAGGGCAGAGGCGTGCTTCGGAGGAGGCTCAGGGCAGGGGCTCCTCTGCCACTAACGTGTTAGCAACTCTGTGGTCCACCAGTATCGTGGGCGTGTGCTGTTTACTGTTTTTCAACAACAGACTTCCTGAAAGCATGACCTTAATTTTGCTTTGTAGCAAGACATCTCTTATCTTTGGATGGATCTAATTTTCAGAGGCCCAAGGGCTGCTCTCATTCCAGTCTGGATTAGAAAAGCAGAAGCCCCAGCCTTAGTTATCAGGCCCCTTTGGATAAGGCTGTGAATTAAGTATGGTAAAGAACAGGACAGCATCAAAGCCTACGCTTTTCTGGGATTTTTCAAGACAGGGTTTCTTTGTGTAGTCTTGACTGTCCTGGAACTCACTGGAGACTGGACTGCCTCGAACTCATTAAAGGTGGAAGGAGTTAGGCAGTGGTGGCGCACACCTTTAATCCCAAAACTCGGGAGGCAGAGGCAGGTGTATCTCTGTGAGTTCGAGGCCAGCCTGGACTACAAGAGGAAGTTTCAGGACAGCCAAGGCTGTTACATAGAGAAATCCTGTCTCAAAATACCAAGAAAAAAAAAAAGGTGGAAGGAGAGAAGGGATCCCATGAAGTTGTCTTCTGACCTGCAGGCATGTAGCACAAAAGTCTGCACACACAAATGATATCTTAAAAGAAGCATTATTCTAGGTAATAACTTTCTTTCAGAGAAATTTTTTTCTCTTTAAAAACAAGTTTCTTTGATAATGAAAATGATACAGACCTTTATGATTTTCCCCTCTTTTTACCTGGAAATGTATAACAAAATTCAGTGATTATCTCTGAAACCCTTTTCCATGTTCCTGGCATAATCATCTGCCCATTAAAAGAAATTCATATTTAGTCATTCATTTCTTATTTTATATGATTCATACTATATGTTGCTATGTTGCTTTATATTAGCTTTAGGTAGTAGATATTACATAAGTTTTTTTTTTTTTTTTTTTTTTTTTTTTGCTTTTTCAAGACAGGGTTTCTCTGTGGTTTTGGAGCCTGTCCTGGAACTAGCTCTTGTAGACCAGGCTGGTCTTGAACTCACAAAGATCCGCCTGCCTCTGCCTCCCAAGTGCTGGGATTAAAGGCGTGCGCCACTACTGCCCGGCATTACATGTTTTAAATATACCTTTAGAACTTTGGCTTAAAGTAATAAATTGTAGGCTAAATATAGCTGCATTCAACTTAAATGATAGGAACATCTTTTTCTTTATTTTTTATTTTTTTGAGTCAAGGTTTCTCTGTAATTTTGGCGCCTGTCCTGGATCTTACTCTGTAGACCAGGCTGGCCTCAAACTCACAGAGATTCGCCTGCCTTTGCCTCCCAAGTGGTGGCATGAGCCACCACCACCCTACTGGAACATCTTTTTTTGATAACAAGAAAGATTTGTTTATTTGAAACAGACTTTCACTACGTGGCCTCAACTCAGAGCTCTTTCTGCTTCTGCTCACTGTTGGCTGGGATTAAAGGAGTGAGTGTATTTTAAAGTACATACAATGTGGCAGGGAATTACACTAACCACTTTATTGGGAATTATCCATGCTGGAGATACTATCACTTCTCTAGCGATGTTTGAAGTAATGGAGGAACTTCAGAAGGTTATAAAGTATTTAGGAGTAGGACTCGGGTGTGCCTCAATCCAAAATTCCAGCTGCTAGCATACATACATTGTTTCCCAAGCAGCACTGGGATTCTTTCTGGGAGAATGTTACATCTTACTCCTCAGTGGAATGGAACTAGACTTCCTATCAAACTTGCCGTTCTACGGTCTCCCAGTCCTCTACGTAGAGTCCTAGCTCACTCTCAGAGCCTGAGCTGAGCCCAGAGTCTTTCCTCCAGTAGAGCTTGGTTTCTCAGATTCTGTCGTGTGTGTGTGTGTGTGTGTGTGTGTGTGTGTGTGTGTGTGTGTGTGTGTGTGTGGTTCCTCACTAATTGATTCCCCGCTGGTGAGCCCCGGGACTCAGTTGAGATTCGTGCCCTTCAGTATTGTATAAGAGTTTCCACTAGGCAAGGAAGCTCTTTAAACAGGAAAGTAAAACAACTCGAAATCGCGTCAGGAAGTCCCTGAAACCGGCCAGATTCACCAGGTCCCTCCCTGCCAGAATTAGCGATAAAAGCTGAGACACCCCTCAGACTGAAGGAAGCTGGGCTTCACAGAAGACGCTGGGATCAGACCAGCGCCTGGAAGAATCAGAAACCATCAGCTGAAGGGGTTCAGAGCAGAGTCTCTGGGAAACCACACTACTCTCCAACCTGCTGAGCTGTCTGCAGACTGCAGGGTGCTCCAGGTGTTGGGAGCTGTCACCGTGCTGGGCTCCCAGCTTTCGGAAGCTGTCACCCGCGCTGTGGTGTGCCTTACAGATGCAGCTGTCTTTGAGTCATTTCTGCTCCTGTACGTAAACCCTCACCCATACATACTCCCGTAAAAATAAAACTCATGGGTTCACCAAGTTGGACTTTGGTGCTATCTGTACTTTGGTCCGTCTGTGGGAGCCCTATCTGGGGCGAGGAGACCTGTGTAGCGTCTCCCCAGGAACAGCTCAGTCACACAACCCTCCGCAGAGGGCAAGAGCCCCCGGCGACCTTCCCGAGAGACTTTCCTCCACGGTCCCGCACCTCGCCACAACCGCACCTTCCTCCACTTTCCCTAACCGCTCCCCACAATCGCACTCCCAGCCGCCATTCTCTTTACCCTCCGTCCAACTTCCCCTCCTCCCGGTCGCCTCCGTCCCCGGGTCCCGGAGATCACTCACGGAGCGCCGCTGCTCCCCGCTGCTCCCCGCGGCTCCCAGAGTCCGCCCGACCGGGCGCTTTCCCTCTTCCCCGCACAGCTCCCAGGCCTGGGGCGAGGCTAGCCGAGCGCCCCGCCCCTCGCTCCCCATTGGCTGCCGTCCCGGCGAGTCCCGCCCCGCGGGCTCGGTGCCCGCCCCTCCGCCCCGCTCCCCTTGTTTTCATTCCCCCTGTCACACGAGGCCGCGGCGACCCCGGAGTGGGAGGGGAGAAGAAGTCGACGAGGGCCGGGGACGGGAAGAGGGCGGAGAGCGGAGGCCCCGGAGCGCCACTCTGGCCCCCCTAGCGCACGCGCTTCTCGACTGCTCCGGGCCGGCGTGGTATTGTGGGATCGCGGTGCCCGGGCCTGAGACGCTCGCCGCCGCCGGGGCGTCCACTCGAGAGAGCGAGCGAGCGCCTCCTGTCGTCCGCACGGCGGCCCTGCCGGCCCTCGGCTCCCCCCCGAACTCCTCCCGCCGCCGCCGCTCCCCCCCATCCCCTCCTCCTCCATCCTCCAGTTCAAAATGGCGACGGCGGCGGCGGCGGCGGCGGCGATGGCTCCTCCGGGCTGCCCGGGTTCGTGCCCCAACTTCGCCGTCGTCTGCTCCTTCCTGGAACGCTACGGGCCGCTGCTGGACCTGCCCGAGCTGCCCTTCCCCGAGCTGGAGCGGGTGCTGCAGGCGCCGCCGCCGGACATCGGCCACGGAGAAGGTGAGCGGTCGGCCCGAACGCCCGGCGGGAAGCGGCCCTGGCGCGCTCTGCCTCTCCGTAGACCTCCCGGGGCTCTGCGGCCGGCTCCCCCTTCTCCAGGGACCGGGCTCTGCTCCGTGGATCCCGGGGAGAAGGGGGGGTCCCGGGTGCTGGGGAGGCGGGGCGGAGGCCCCCCCCTCTAGGGCCACCGTGCCCCGCGGGGACGGAGGTGGGGGCGTCGCGGGCCCGGTGGGGGCCGGGGCCCGGGAGGGATCATTGTGCCGGGCGGACGCCCTGGGGCCGGGTCCCCCGCGCCGGTGTGGGCCCCCCAGTTCTGATCCCCTTTAGGTGGCGGGGGAAGGGGAGAGCAGGTTCCGGCCAGCCTTGCGCTTTTCTCCTCCCCCTCCTCCCTCCGATCCTCCCCACTGTCTCCGGGGAGGCCGGGCCCATCTTCTCCCGGCGCCCCCTCGGCTCACTCCACCTGAGTGGGCGGGGGCCGGCGGACACTCCACTCTCCCTGTGGTGGGAACTCCCCCGAGAGAGTCGGTTCCCGTCTCTTCCCGTGCCCTGGAGGGCTGATCTAAACCCCCAAACTCCTTCCTGGCCTTAGGGAGATCGGCTTCTCCGCTCAGGGAAGGGGGCTTCCCCCAGTCCCTCATCGGGAGAGGAAATGAAGTCGGCTCAGCTTCTCCACTCTGGGGAAGCAAGGGTTAATTTCTCCTCCTCCATAGTTTTCCTCCTCGCCACCTCCCCCAAAATAATAGAAAAGCATCTCCCCACTTTTCTCTCTCCCTTCCCCCCTCCCCTATCGCGGCAACAGGGCTTAGGGGAAGAAGAAGTCACTCTTCCATTTGCAGGGTGGGGTGGGGTGGTTAGTCTGTAGGCTGGAGGAGGGGCGCAGACGGTAGGGGAAACAGTTGAAGAAGGTGCTTGTTGCTCATGTTTCTCTCTCTGGTGCCGCTGGTCTATTATTGGTGTTCGCAAGTGGTGCTCCTTCCACATAAGGCCACCGCGCGGGTGCAGGGCGCATGCTCTGCCCGGCCCCATTGAAACTTCCTGCTGCTGGTTCTTTTGCTGGAGCATCTCGAGCGCTGTGCTTGCGGCTTGCAACCCTCACGCACCGAGCGCTCACACTCTTCCCCCAGTTAATCCTGATCCATGCCGCTCCTTTTCTAGCACTTATTTCCCTCGGAGAAGGCTTATTTGTGTACTCCGAACATTGCCTTTGTCTGGGTACAGCCCTTGGCAGAAGAAACGTTTTCCAAATAGGTCTTTCTCCCCCTTCTTTTTCTTTTGATCTGAGTGTAGATGACCAGGGTGGGCTGGGTATTTTACAAGATATGATAGCTATGACCTTTCTAAGAAAGCAGAGTCGATTTTCTGTTCTCTATGAAAATGAAGTTCCCGATATGATGGATTTACATAGCTAGGGAAAGGCCCGAGTATGAAGTTCTTCAAAGTAACCTGTAGTGAAAATGCGTAAAATACGATGTTATCGAAGATTAACCCTAAGGCGGTTCTTAAGATGCTCTTCACCTGTCTCTTCTGAGAAACGTCTCACTGTTGCTTTGTCTGCCTTGGAACTCTGCACATCATGCTGGCCTGGAACTCCTAAAAGCCCTCCTGCCTCTGTCTCCTCCCATGTGCTAGGATTAAGGCACATCTTAATGTGCCCGATACATCTCTTTACCGGTTCGCATTTTTTACACTCTCTCTGGCTAAAAAAGCTAGTTTTTTAAAACTATGAAAATTGGTGGACTTCATATTAAGATTTTCTGCAGAATTTCTTTAATCATTAAGCTTCTGGTGTATTACTTTCGTTATTAAATTATATTTACATTCTTTTTTGAAGGAAATAGTTACTGTAAAGTAGGATACCTTAAGTTAAGTTTTAGGATACTTTAAAAATAATAGTAATTTATTTGTCAGAGAGAAAAATGTGAGAATTTTAGGGAAACTGATAGTAAATTGCTTTTAGAATTTATTTGGACGAAGTTAAGAGGCAGGCATGGGTGCCACTGCAGTTTGAATAGCAGGTAAGCCTGAGTTTCCCTGAATTTTGACCAGTGGACTTATTTTGTATTAGTACTGGAAGAGGATGGTTTGATATATCTAGTGTTGAGCTTTGGGCCATCAGCTAAGCAAAAACGGGACAGAAGTTGGACTAAGGAATCATTTGCCTCAGCCACAGCATTGCCATTGATATAGTTGCTAAGGATTGATAATAGATTGTGTCAAAATCTAAGAATAATTGTTAATTAATGTCACACTGTTCAAGACACATGGCAAATGAAAAGTCTCTCTGAAGGTGGAAGTTTTTCCTGTGCAGGAAAAAGATCTTCAGAAATTTGATGATGTCTCAGACAACTTAAAATAGTTAAGTGGATAAGATTGACTCAGTTTTTTTTTTGAGAAAGAGTTTGGTAAGAGCTGAAAGACTGGGCTTTTGTGTTGAGCAATGTAATGTATGGTGGTAGAGCAGTTGTTTCGATAATATGGACCTCAGTTTCTTCAGTAGACAAAGGTAATGGCATAGGACCAAATGAGGTGTTTCAGAAAACCCTTTCAGAAGCCAGGCTCTTACAAATACTCCTGTATTACAAATCACACTACAGATGTTTTTCAGATAAAAGATGCATATTACATTTGTAATTAGCCTTAAGTTTTTTTAAAAAAAAAATTTATTTATTTATTATGTATACCATATTCTGTCTGTGTGTATGCCTGCAGACCAGAAGAGGGCACCAGACCTCATTACAGATGGTTGTGAGCCACCATGTGGTTGCTGGGAATTGAACTCAGGACCTTTGGAAGAGCAGGCAATGCTCTTAACTGCTGAGCCGTCTCTCCAGCCCTAGCCTTAAGTTTTTGATAGGTTGGGAGTGCGTAGCGGTGTCTGTGTTAGAGTCAAACAAGTTTTGCTTTGTATAAGTTTTATTTAAAAAACAGTTCTAGTGCCATTTAAAAAGTTCTAATTGGGCTGGCGAGGATAGCTCAGGGTTTACTGCAAGCTGTCCTCTAACCTCTGCATGTGATTTGGCACACAAATGCACACAGTAAATAAAAAGTTCTAATTTATATGTTTTATTTTTTTCATTGTATTGAGTGGCTCTTAGACTGTGTGTGTTTGTAAAGATTTATTTATTTATTATGTATAGTGTTCTGCCTGAATGTATGCTACAGGCCAGAAGAGGGCACTAAATCCCATTACAGAGGGTTGTGAGCCACCATGTGGTTGCTGTGAATTGAACACAGGACTTCTGGAAAAGCAGCCAGTGCTCCTAACTGCTGAGCCATCTTTCCAGACCTTAGAGGATGTTTTTATGTGTCTTTTCCAGTCCTCTGCTCCCCCAGCTGGGATATGAAAGGAAGATAGTTCAGTTCTTGAATGCAGCATTTATTAAAGTAGAGTTAGCAAGTTTACCAATTTGTCCGTTTAGATGCTTTGTGACCTTTTTCCTAAAAAGTCGTTTCCAAGCTTTAATTTGGTACTTTGGCTTCAGATTAGGATGCCTTGTTCCTTAGTCAAGAAAGCTGCCCATGGAACGGAAAATAGAGCCAGTCTGCATTCTAATTCCAAACCATGACAAGTTTGTCCTGTGCCCCATAGTAAGATTCCATAGGTTATTCTGGTTGCTTAAAGATAAAACAAAACCATGAAAAATTTCAGTTTTGTTAGATTCATTTTTCTTTTTTAGAAAGCAATTGTGTGCGTCTTAAGGGTTTTGCCTACCTGTTTCCACATGAATGCATTTGGGCCTGGAGTACTTGGAGGTCGGAAGAAGGTGTCAGGTCCCTTGGAACTAGAGTTATAGATGGTTGGGAGCCACCATGTGAGTGCTGGAAATCAAACCCGGGTCCTCTGCAAGAGCAAGGAACGCTCTTACCACTGAGTCATTTCCCCTGCCCCGAGATTCCCTTTTCAAATGGTTTCCAAGGACCTAATAAGTGGAGCTGATGTTATTTTATTTTATTTTTTGGTAGAGGGCTGCTTCAAGGCGATTACTGAGACACCAAGGGTACCATGAATCTTGGGAATCTGCTCTAGAGACTATCATTACCCTTTGGGTCTAGAAAGAAGCAATGACTGTCACTTTATCTTACACAGAAGAGAAACTTAGACGCAGGGATAGATTTCAAGCACATACCCCTGACCATTGGTGTTACTCAGACTGTGGTTTGGAAAGCCCACGGAAATTATCAACCATGATGAATTCATAGTTGAGACAGGGTTTCTCTTGTTTGTGACTCTGTGCAGCCTGTTATAGAGTGGAGCTTTGGGACAGTTTTTCTGTCTCGGCCTCCCACGTTGTCATTGGAGGGCTCCAGGTATAGATGTCACACCGCCTTCTGTGGGTTCAGGTGATGGAGCTCACTTCATGTACGGCCACCTCCTGGTCCCGGAAGGGGTCTCACTGTGGAATGCTAGC